GTGCTGCCCAAGGAGTTAAACTGTAAACCAGAAGGTTTGTGTCTTTGCTACCAGTCTGAGAAAGGATATTTTTAAATCACAGCAGGGCCCCGAGAAGGCAGGGCGAGAGCCGGAGGGACAGAGCGTTCCCGCTCCCAGGGACGGTGCTCGTCAGCGGGCTGGCTCGCCAGAGGCTGCCCTGGCACCCTCCTGCCCGACAGCCATGCTGCTGTGCCGGGTGCTGACACCCCAAAACGGCAGCGGGAGCAAACCTGGGGCCGTGCCACCCTGGCAGCCACAGATCCTCTCCCTCAGCTGTCACTCTGCCGCGTTGTGACATCCGCAGCTTCGCTGCAGCACCATTTCATGTCTCTTCCAGTAAAGATGTTACACAGCTGAGAACAGATCACCGGGGAGCTTCCTGGAAACTACCGGCTGATGGTTCCGTGTTGGCGGTTACCCTCGGGGCGTCGTCAGACGGTTTGCAGGTTACTCAGCTGTGTGCCAGCTTAGTTCCGTGCTGTTCTAGTTTCTCTGTCAGCGAAGTCTGTCAGGTTGGGTGCCATGCAGCAGTCTGTGACATCGACGTTCGTACACGTGTAATCACACTACACCTTCTTACGGTTAAAAGACACCAGGCTAGTTCAGGCGGATGTCCTTGCTGTGAACACGTGCCCCGTGTTCGGGCACTGTTGTCTCGGGCTGCCGGAAGGATGGCAGGGTGGTGTGCTGGGCCATTCCAGTAGCAGACCAACTAAAATAAAGTGTAATCCAGTGTCACGGAATTTTGTTTATGAAACTACCCTGAAAAAAGCAAGATTTCCAAAGACAGAGTCAGTGCTAGAGGGAGAAATGGATATATTTGCGTTTCAAGCCGTTGCTGGCGTGCAGATGACCAAAGACCCATGCTAGCGGTGGGCAAGGCTGGTGACGAGGAAACGTGTTTTACTGCTGGGGAAGGAGATCAGGAAAGGCCCCTGCTTTGAGGACCTTAAAGTGAGAGCAGAGCCAGGACAGTAGAGATAAGACATGGAGAAAAAACAGTTTAAAAATGCTTAAATCCTGTTCTCTGAATAGGCAGAACAATCAGTGCTACAGGGCACTTAGCAGATGTAAATGCATACGCACAAATGTAAATGCAGGTTACCAGTATGTCCGTGGATCTCGAAAGACAAACTCAAACTCCGGCCCCGCTGAAAGTAACGGGAAGAATCCTGCTAATTTTATCCTTATTTATTCATTTATTGTAATCACATTATTGAGATAATTGAGACACGAAGAGCCACAGTGACAACATACTCCACTTTTTTGTCTCGTTACTCAGACAAAAAGGGCAAGAATCACAGTCATATCTTCCTGCTGCCAGGGAAGGGCGAGTGCCATGCACTCCAGTGCTGCATTTTTTCCCCTGGTGCAAGAAAGGAAGGTGGGGACCCCCAGGGTGGGGGACCTCTCCTGGGATTTTATTACATTTGAGGGGGTTTTCTGTGTTTTTTGTGTAAATATTTTATCCATTTGTTACTATTTTTCTTGAATTTTTGTTCGAGTAGCTGAGGAAAGCAAAAATATTTGTTCATGAGTATATTTAGTTGTCAGAAGAATCCTCCACAATTCAAATTTCTTGACTTTCTCAGCAGCTTTGTCCTGGTACCAAATTGTTATAGCTTTTCAGAGAAATATGAATGCTCTTCCCGTTTGAAAAAGAGAATGCCAATAAACACCATTGTTTCCCAAACTAATAACCAACTTCCCTCCAAGTTTAACACCCCGACGTTATAAAAATTGAAAGTGCGTGCTGCTGAAAGCTGATCTTCTTGAACTGGTTTTATGGAAGGTTATAAAAGAGCAATGATAATAAAAAATGAACAGTGCTGAGATTTGGTTGGATTTTCCTTCGAATTTATGATGCTCCCGAGAGGCTAGATACGCATGACGTGTATTGGAACTGAAGTGTACCCCTTTGAAAACAGCCTGCTTGTAAGCTCTTGCTGAAGTGGAAGCTTTTCATACATGTGGAATTCATCAGTATTTGAACAACAGTTTTAAAACCTTATGGTTTGTTCAAAATGCTTCTTAGTGTTGTTTCAGCATCCGTAGCTGTCAGAACTGTGAAGCTGGAGTGTCTTGGCCTTGCTGAAATAAAACATTTAAAAACGCTAAATTAACATTGCTGATTTTTTCCTGGAAATTGTGAGAAATTTTTTTAAATTTCACTGTTTCATTCTGACACATGCCAGGCTTCACCCGGCTCTTGATACGTTATGCTGCCACTCACGAAAGCCTCACCACTTCTACTCACCCGCGCAGAATCCAGATGGTGTCGTTCAGATCGTTATTGCCGTCGCTATGGCGTGGAGGAAGGCTGTTGAAATGACAGCGTCTGCAAAAGAGGGAGCAGCAACGCGAGAGGTTTTCATTCATCTGCAGATGAAGAGAGAGGTGAAATCCTTCCCAGAACAGGGTTGCTTCTTATTAATGGAGTTTTAACAAGTGCCAGGAGCCCTTCTTTTTTACTGTTCCCGGTTAAGGCAGCGGACAGAGCCGCTGTGTTGTTGTTCAGCAATGTCACGAAACATCACAACGCCAGAATTCAAAGATGTTCAGCGTGCTTTGAAATATGAAATATATGTGCGAGGGTCATAGTCACTATGAAATGAAACAAACAGAAATTGAATTAATTGCTCTTAAATTCTGGGACTCCTGTGAATGCGGTTCTGGCATCTTTGACGTACCTTGAACCAACTTTGCCAGCAACACCACGCTAATGTTTTAATGTATGCAGGATCTGTGTACATCCGCAACTGAGCTGTATTTACCTGTGCTGGACTGTCTAAGTGGTGGTGACTGGTTTTCTCCGTGGTACTTGCTGGTTCACTCCATCCCTCCCCCTGTTTCTGTTTCCTCTTGGGCTCACATCATGTTGAACACAACCACGCTTTCAGTCTTCAAGCTTTTTAGACAGGACAGAGATGTTTTAAAAAAATCCAGCCCATCTTTAATCTGCTATTTGGAGAGATCCGCTCCTGTAAACACTATATGGTGTGGCAAAACACACCCAAATCTTTGCAATTTTGTTAAATGCTGCCTGAAATGCTGTCTGAGGGCAGGCTTTATACCCCTTGCTCACTAGCTACAGATGGCTGCATCTACTTGAAGGAGGTTGGTTGCTCTGTAAAATATTCTTCATAATGAGAAGAGAGATTGTGGGTTGGATCTTTAAGATGTGTAATACGGAATTTTTTATATCAGTGATTTGTATATCTTTGCAAAACAGCTAAAATATTGTCTCATGTAGGCTTCTGTTGTTTTCCTTCACTGTTTGCCAACATGTTAGGAAGAGATCAGACACGTTCTTATCTCATTGGAAAGAGGAGACTTCCATGGAGACCACAGTGGATACTCCAGGGAAGCCTGTGAAGTAGTTTAGGGTCAGAAATCAACGCACATTTAGGGATGTGGGACGGTGAGAGCCTTGCCAGCGAGCCTGCCAGCGCAGTCGGGTGGTCTGGCTGCCCGTCCGGCCGCGCCGCCCACTTAAATGCGGGGGCGTCCCATGTTGGCAGTGGTCGAGTGGGGTTTGAGCATGGCGGCGGTGCTGGCTGCGGCCCAGCCGGGCTCTGCCCTCCTCCCTTCCCGTAGCCCACCCTGGGTTTGTACGTAGCCATAATATTTTTGTTCTGTGTTGCAGAAAGAGCCCGAGTTATCTAGCAGGGCTAATCCCAGGACAGCGGGAGTCCTGAAGTAGTTACTCACTCTGTGGAAATGTGTAAAAAGGAAGGAGAGAGATATGTGAGAAGAAGCCAGAAAAAAAATACAGTTTGAAGGAATATTTAAATCAGAGAGGATAATCTTTCTGTACCAGGATGGTGGGAGGACAGTGAAAACTTTAACACAAAAGGCGTTTGAAGGACACACTTGGTACGCTGCGCCTTCGACTGCGGCATCGTGTGGACCAGACTGGGTTGGTTCTGTGTTGATGGCACCGAAGTAGCGCAGCCTGCTCAAGGGGCTGGGGCTGCAGCAGGGCATCTCCTCCTGAGCCCCTCCAGGGTTTGTTTTATGTTCACACTGCCGAAATGTGTTTTTTAAAAAATCTGACAGCTCAAGGCAGGGGCTGGAGGCTGGCAAATTATTCAGAGGGGAAGAAAAGGCACTCAGCAGTGTTCTACCTACTGCTGTTGGAGGTGAGCCCCATGACGAGGGCTGTTGGAGGCGAAGAGAGGAGAAACACCCAACTCCAGCCGCCATCTCCTCAGCCTGGCTACTGTCTTGGTTTTTCTAATTTCTAGTTAGTTACTCACTTGCTCTTCTTGTTTATTTGTGACTTTCTCCTGGAAACAGCAGAGAGAAAGTGTTATTTCGCTGTTTCTTTCAGAGGCAAACGACACAAAGGTGATGCAAACTGTCAGGACTGTCCTGCGGATTGAGCGGTGCCTGACCCTGCTCGTCCGGCGGGACGGAAGGGGCTCGGCAGCTGCCTGCCTGCTGCCAGAGTCCGAGGAAATCCCTGCTGCCATGGGGCTATCTCCCATCTTGGGGCAAAGCAGCATCTTGAGCTGCTGGAGGGAAGAATTAAAACCTTGTCTGATCTGCCTGGCCTGGGGTGAGCTGTGGAGCACCGCGATGTCCTTCCTCCTTCCGAGGCTGTGATTTCATTCTCATCACAGCCTGTCAAGAGAACAGCCTTGCGGGAGACTCGTGGAGTTAAGCTGCAGCTTAACGAGGCTCACGAGCACACGCGAGTCACCGAGCGGCTGGGAGGGCTCTGGCGATGCCCTGGCCCTGAGCAGGGCAGCTGGGACAGGGTGCTGGGGAGCGGGGGGTCCCCTGTCCTGCGGAGCCGTAGCCGTGGCAGGGAGAGTGAAGGGACCCCTGTCCCTTGGTGCCCTGCGTGGGCACGGAACGCTTATTGCCATCCAGCCGTGCCGTGCCTGGGACAGCTGCTGTTCTTGCTGGCTTCTCCTCGGTGAGCTTTTCCAGGCGGAGTGCTGCTGGGCAGGACGGCAGGGAGGGGGGACGCGATGGAGCTGCGTTTGCTGCGGGTGCTGCCGAGAGACCCAACAGACCTCTGCGATCCAGCCATTCTGCGCAGGCTGTTAAAGGTAGCGCAGCTGGGTTTTCTCCATTTTAGTCCTTACATTTTGCAAGCATTACTGTGACATTCATCCCACCAACACCTGAACCCGCTGCACCCTCCTGTGAGAAAGGGCATTTTTATCTCCTTTTAATGGTGGGGGACACCTAAGGTAGAACACAGTTATAGAATTTGCCCGTAGTCACCTACTAGGGCTGTGAAAGAGCCAGGGATAGGTTTGTTTCTCCATTGTGGGCCTTAATCACAAAAAAAAATCCTTCCACTCTAGTGAAGCAAGCCATGTCGGGTAGCTGCTTTTGTGCCTGTGTGCATTAGTCCCGCAGTTCATAGACCTCGCTCATTAAATGGTCACATGCTGCAGACTGAACGCCAGGCCGAGCTTCCAGCCTTGTGTTTGCAGGCTGGAAAGGCAACTGCTGGCATGGAAAAACTCAGCTTTCAGTAGGTGCTGTCTGAAATCAGCTGATCTCATTTGAGCGAATGTAGAAACTGCGGTACCGTACGCAGAGGGGTTCGGTGCTTGGGGTGTGCCGGGGGACGCGGCCACATCAGAGACTGTCCCTCCTCCACCGAAGCCAGCAGCGGGCTCTCACTGCCTGGGAAACTATTTAAGCAAAGCCAAGAAAGAGCTGAAACTGCCGAGTGCCCAGCTACTGACAGCTGGTAAATAACAGTCCTGTTTGGAAACAGTAAATGAATAAAATACACTTGACCTTTGGGATCTCCGGGGAGCTTTGTGGTCCCCAGGTAGCAGGAGTTCAGGTGTCACTGCCAAAGCAGGGTGGGTTATGAAAAATGATGAGCTGGACCTGGTTTTCCACTGCTTTGGAAATTGTGCCCGCGTTTGTGTCTGTACTCGTGTGTGTGTTTCTTCATGCCAGCAACTCTCTTTCCGCTGGGTTTGTCAACAGCACTGAGCACAGCGGGGCCTCCTCCCTGCTCCGGAGCGGAGTGAGAACTGCTGACAGCGACCTGTGCCTCTGCAGGGGAGCTGCAAGGAGGTATAAGCTGGCTCACATCAGCCCAGGAGGTCTTTGCAGCCCTTGGGCTCGCTGGTGGTTACAGGGTATATGACAGAGGGCCAGAATCATCTCAGTATCTCACGTCTTCCACCCGCTACGTGGCAGCAATAACTTTGAACGGTGCTCGGTTTACAGCGGTTCTTTTACAGTCCAATTCAGGCCTCGCTGTAATGAGGGATGTTCTTCTAGAGGTTTCCAGTGACCTTTCATTGCTTCCCACCGTGTTGTTGGAGCTGATGTCGGTTGCTCCCTGCTTGTCTGGCAGCATGACATCAGGGGAGGTAGCGCGGGGGTCCTGCCTGGTCGTTGGTGTGCCCGGGGAGGGTGGGGACGGCAGGCTGGGGTGGCTCAGATGTACCCGGTGCCGTAGGTGCGGGACCGGCGTGTCACTAGGAGTCTAATTACATTTGGGGTGTAGAGGAAAATAAGTGTGAAAGGAAAGTGTCTTAAAACGAGCATTTTGCTAAATGGATTTGCTCCTCTGATTCATTGCTCCAGCGCAGGCTTTCAGCCTCCCCAGAGCAGCTCATTGTTCACTCGTTTTTGCTCTATTAATAAACATGCACAAGAGCTTAAATGGAAGAATGTGCCTCGTGAAAAAAAAATAAGGCAACACGACTTGGTGGACGTACGGGGGAAAAAGAACTGCACAGAGAAAACCAGTACCATTCTGGTAGGTTTTTGTTTACTGAAATAGATCTGTTGCTTAGGCTGAGCTCTTGGGCCTGTGCTGTGTGGGGCGAGGGCAGTTTAACTGCTCCTCTTGTTTAAGGTGCACGGCATCTCTTTTACCCAGATCTTTCCTTTACTCTCTCCCTTCATACGTTGTTATATTTCATATTGGAGTCAAATCTGGTACTAATTTTCTGAGTTTTTTTTTGAGATGAGGTTAAATCAGTGTTTAACAGGGAAGCTGCGTCGGGATCAGTCTCACAACACTCACTGTGAGCAGTGGGAGATAAAATAATGTTGGAGCAGATTGTAGTTTGGAGTGAAAGAACAGGCTATGTGACATCGTGAAAAAGCTTATTTCTGAGGTCTATGTTTTATAGAGGAGGTTTCCTTTCCTGGAGTGGCTCTAACGTGCGCAGTCACATCACTTGCAGATGTGTTTGGGCGTCACCTCCCCTTTTCTTTTCTCCTCGAGTTGCTCCTCGAATATTGCAGGTTTGCCAGGATTTGTCTTCCACGCTGTAAGAGGTCTCAAGGCAGCTCTGAAGTTGCCTCACCCTGGGGAGTCATTACAGGAGGTTTTTACCTGGGCAGATAACAGGTCTCAAGGGACCGATCTCTGAGCTCCTAGGTAGAGGTCATATTTTATACTAATATTGGATTATGGCAATGACGCCACTTTCGAGGAGTTTTCCCATTAAGCCCTGCTTTGTTTCCAGGCCCCCGCGTGTGTGCTGGTGTAGGACAGAGCGGCACTGAAGCACTGACGTCCCTGCTGCCCTGCCAGGCCGCTCCCGGGGGCTCCGAAGGGTGGAGGGCACCTGTGGCTTACCCTCTCCCCCTCGGAGAGCCCAAGCTGCCCTCCGCCCACCGCCCTCATTGCTGGGGGTCTCCTGTGCCGACAAAGGGCGCGTCCCTCCTCTTCCTCCCCTGCAGCAGCCCGGGCAGCCTGCAGCTCCTCCACCTCTGCCTTCCAGCCCCGTCCTCTCCGGTGCCTTCCCAGGGTGGTGGGCCGGA